AAACCGTAAAGTCATCTCTTATGCTTGTGGGAAACTCAGTGATCCCAGAGTTACGTGTGCGTGCGTGCTCTGTGTGTAGTATATTGAAACCAGCCTGTGTCATCACATTTGAACTTGATTATTTCATTAATCTCTTTCTGGGACATTTAGGAGGAAATGAATGGGTGCTTTAGATTTTTTATGTCTTGCCTCAGTGTACTCTTTAATTAAAATGTTTTTGTATAACAAAACACATAAAATGCAACAAGTATTTTAACTATAAAGATGTGGTACAGTGGTTTGGTGATTAGCAAGACACACCTTAGTGAAGCCGCCTTTTTTGAGTGAATGTTGCATTTTTTTATATGACAAAGACATGCTCCTCAGTTACTTTCGAAGTACTACTTTTCTCATAGCTGTGAAAATTAGTCTAAAGAGTTGTTTACCCGATTTCTACCAAATGCATCCTATGACCCATAACTGGACAGCATGTTTTCATTTTCTTGTCACTGAGCTGTAACAAAATACAACATGTGCTCCTGGGATGACATCACTACAGGGGCAAATTTGTTCCTATTGACCTTCAACTTAAAAACAAAATCAATCTGGCCAGCACAGTTTACTGCTTTTAGAGAACAAAATTAGTAACATGAAATCAAATTTCAACAGTGAATTGTGTGCCATAATAGGTAAATTGAATATTGAATAAGGTAACTCACTTACACAAGCTATGTCTGAGGTCAAATAAAGAAAGAAAAAAGGAAGAAGAAAGTATATATAATCTTTCATCTTGCTGAAGTGGTTGCACCTGAGGAAGGCGGTTCCTTTCCAGGCAGGAGTGCTTGAGGTATCCTCCATAACTACTGGTGTGATCATGTGACTCCTGGATAGGGACTTCTTGACAATATGTGTGCGTGCATGTGCGTGTGTGTGTGCGTGTGCGTGTGTGTGTGTGTGAGGTTTGGTTTAGAGGTGGACTAGCATGACAGTAACTTCAAAAGACTGAGGTATCAGATTCAGACATGGGCTGCTTTGCTTGGTCTGACAAATGAGGAGCTGTTGTGTGGGAAGCGAAGGAATTTACAGCATCTACCTTTCATCTACACAGGTGGGCCACTGTGTGTGTGTGTGTGTGTGTGTGTGTGTGTGTACATGTTTGTATATTTGCGTATGAGGAGCCAAGGGGGTGTACTAGTATGAGTATGTAGCTTGTTTTGTGTTTGGGTTTTTAAGAATGTGCAGTGCATATGTGCATATTATGATATTTGTGTGGCTGTGTGTGTGTGCGTGTGTGCATGTGTGTGCGCGTGCGTGTTTGTGTGCGCACTTTCACAATGGCGGAGATTTAGACAGACGAGTCACAACAATGATCCAGGAAGCCAGTGATCCCAGGCACTTTACATGTGGTTCAATGCTCCAGTTCAGTGCGTTTCACTATGAAGTCATTGATGGATCCAAACAGTAGGAAAACACATACAGCCAAATGTGTTTCGATATAAAGACACACGCCAACAAACAGCCATGGATATGACAATAAAAGCAACACATTTTCAAGGATTATTTCCTTAGTCAAGCTTGTGGGTCTCTCTGTGGGTGTCAGGTGACTGACAGGAAGCAGAATGTAATGCCATGCTTGCACAATATGAAAACACTCACCTCAGGCGCAATGAAATAACAATGAAACTATCTTAATTATGTTCTGTCTTTATTATTTATAATGAATATGTCCTAGGTCAATGAAACTGGCTTCTCTGGGTGTTAAGATGATACTGAGTTTTATCCCATAACTATATACAGTATGTGTATATGGTCTCCTGCTGCACAATACAAAATTGCTTAACAAATAACAGCACATTTTGGCATTCACAGAGACATAAGAACAGTGGTCGGGGTGAAAATGTGAAGTTTATGCTCGGATGGAGTCACTAAATTTTTAGGCAGCACGAAAGCTCTCATCTAATCTGCCTTTTATTCGCATGTGATTATTTTGAAAAACCCTGTGTGTGAAGTTAACATTTCGGCCCGATTGTGGCGCTACAGTAAATGTGAGAGAGTGCCCAAAATGGAAAGGGTTCATCTTTTGGTGACCATGAATATACAAAACAAAATTTCATGGCCATTCAACTAGCCATTATGTATTAAGATAACTTGTCATGTAAGTACTGGTGAAGAGCCAATTGGTTGCACAAGACAAAATCCCTTGGGGCTCCTCCTCTGGGGACCATGCAAGACTTCCATAGCAGCTGTCAAGATTTATTCATCTGGAGAAAAGTTGTGGATGGATGGAGAAACTGACACCGTCATATTTGGTGCAGAGACATGTTGAAACAGTTTGCATGTGAAATGATTAAGCCTTATTCATAAAATCTACAGTTTCAGTTATGGCTGATGTACAAACAATGAGCCAGGCATTGCACAGTAACTTATAAGGTAATGAGTTGCATATGACTGAGTCTCGGGTCCATATTCTAAAACTGTTTTTATGCATCAGGAGATTTTTGTGGTCTTTGGCTTTTCAGAATTTTTTTTTGTTTTGTAACTCACATTTATTGCAATATTCATCATCTAGAGACACAATGACAGCAGCTGTTGCGTCCATGAATCCTTTTTTTTTCATACTTTTGGTTAAGAGTTGGATATCTTGTTTCCTATTGTGTGTTTAATTATAATCATGATGGAACAGATGACATATATCAGTGTAAACTGATATTTAATTAAATGAAATTATAATAATTGGACATACCCTGCGCCTTCTTAGTGAGAATACACTTTTCAGTTTTTTACTGGTGCAATAATACAACAACAATGAACATTGAACATGAACATTTATTGTGTTGTCTTGTGTAACCTTTCTTGAATAAAAGCTATTTAAGTCTGCAAAACCTTAATAAGAGATTTCATTGTTTCAATGAGGTTTAGGCCTACTAAAATATACCGTATAGTATATTCACTTGCAGTACATATATGGACACTTTTGTTTAATATAAATGCAATGACATCAAACTTCTTGTTTGACACCTCAACAATGCACCTTGATAAGCCAGTAGGCCTATTTAAAGAGTCTATTTAAAGAGTATATTTAACCAGCAAATAGCCAGATTTAGCTCATCTGTGTTTGTGATAACAGTATTGACCCTTTATCTCTTTGCAGGGTCATAGACAAACACACACAAACACACTACAAAAGACTGGCAAAGACCAAAGAAACACTTTTTCATTCAATTTATTTTGTTAGTTAAATTTCTATAGCAGGTGAGGGAACATAACGGTCACGCAAGGGTTTTCTTGAGCATAGTTTTCAGAAGTCACAGTGTTTTAGACATGGACAAGAACATAAAAAAAAAAACAATGACAATGAAGAAGGGCCAAGAGGAAACTTAAAAACAAGGTGTAACAGTGACACATTCCTACACACCTTCTCCTTCATGGTCCTCCCACTTCCCCCTTTGCTCCACAAAAAAACAAACAAAAAAAAAGGCCTCTGCTCTAAAGTGTTGTCAACCCCTCCCTCCCATAAACCCCCCCATCCAAAAATGCAAACAAAACAAAACAACAAAACAAAAACAAACTCAGCAACAAATAGATATATTTATATATAATATATATTTACTCTTTAAAAATAGAACTTCAGTCTAGATACTAACATCTGTACAAACTACAAAAATAAATTTTTAATATAAATAATTTATATGGCATGAAATTAACAATTTTTTGAAATAAACTACAAACTAATGCAGGAGCCCCCCCCCCAACCCCCAACCCCCCCCACTAAAAACTCCTCACCACTGTCTGACAACACCTCCTGGCTCTCTACGGTCTGATCCAACTGTAAATGGTGCTTTTCCCGTTTTGCTTAATTATTCACAACTGCACAGTAGCTACTTAACTCTTCTTTCATATTTACAAAATAAACCGAAGCTGCCACTTAAAAAAAAATGACAAGAAACACATAGATTGGCAAGTTTTTCCCTGCAATTTAACCTGGCAGTGATGAGACCAATACTGAACAACAATAATAACAACAACAGAAACTTTGTAAAGCAAATGAAATGACAATCCTAAGAATGAGAGAACAATGTGGCATACATGAGGTTTGCATTAAGGAGAAGAGTGAGACATGAGAAAGTGAGTCAGAGCAGGTTGAAGCATTAAAAAGACTGAACCAGTTTACACAACGCAATAATTGCACAGGGTCAAAACAACATGAGTGTGTTCCAACCCTAAAGCAGCCAGCAAAGAAAAAAGGAGAAAATAATAATAATAAAATAAAATCACTCCCTTTGCATTGGATTTTTATAATTCCCTTTCAAAATAATACAAGGAGGTGAACAACACTTTTTGTCACAAATGTGAACTTCACCCACTGTAGAGCTTACAAAAACTGCAGAAGAAAAGAAAAAAAATCTTATCACAGCTCCTTCAAGTAGTTTTAAACTGCAGAGTACATTGGGACACCCAGACAGAGATTGAACATGAAATACGAAATATGAATTAGATGCGACCCTGTCAGCATGTTGACAGACAGATGGACAGATGATGGTGATAACTGACAAACATCCATCTATTACTGCTTCTTGACAAACATTCTGTGTCTGGACGAGACTGAGACGAAACAGGTAAAACATACTGTATTTACACTAAAGCATGAACATAATACTGAGCTCTGACTGCTGTGATAACAAGGCAAGGGGATATACTGAAGGCACGGCGGTTACTACTGTTAAGAAAACAGTATCTGCTGTGTAATTCTCTGCTTTTTTTTTTTTTTTTTACAGTGCACACTGTGACAGAGAATATCTATACTTAAAACACAAGAGAGAGTGTGTCAGACGTAGAATATCTCACAGTATAACACTGTGTAGAAAGTATACTGACTAGAGCAAGGAGAAGAGGGGGGTACTGCATTTTTTAAGGCAAATCACTTAAAATTATTTTGAAGTGTAGCAGCAAAAAAAAAACAAAAAAAACAAAACAACAAAAAAAACATAACAATACAAATAGAAATAAACACTGACCATGTATGTTCAATAGCCTAATATCTTAATAACATCTCACTTTCTGTGGACACTTTTTACATATAGCACATTTCTTATTCTATACACTGTGGAGGGAAAAAAAAATCAACCGACCACACAAAAAAAATAATCTTTTACATCTGAACTTTTACACAAGAGTATACCCAAGTTATACAGTACTCTTTTAAATAGCTTCCCTCTTTTTTAGTATTAAAATATATACTCATAGATTTATATAATTCTTAAAACAAGTCTTTTTTTTTTTTCTTAATATGTCCTTGAAATAAATCCTCTCCTTTTTTTTGTGTGAAGTCTATGTACAGTTGAGAGTTCAAGACGTGATGTGATGCCACGCAGGGCGTCAAGGTGCTCTGGGAAGCAGCCAGAGACTTGAAGAGAGAAGGCACAGTGTGTGAGAGAGTCTAGCAATCTTTGGCTGCTTGGATCCTCAACCCACCTGCAGCAGACAAACAGAGAGGAGAGAGAAGAATTAGACAATGATAACCTGGCACCAAACAAGGAGAAATTAAGGCTATAAATGTTCAATGTTAAGCTCTCAAAATGCGTGTTTAGAAGATTACAAGTCGGGTTAACCTAATACTAACAAATTGCTGACTCACCTTGTGTCTTGCCGAACTGATGTTCTGTCTGGCACTGTGTTGCTTCCAAGTCCTGGATCTCTAGAGAGTCTCTCTTACATGAAGAAAAGTTTGTTTTGTCACCACAAGTCCTCTTAGCAGCCTCAAAACAGTCCGACTCACTGTCCGTGTCAAAACCTTCATGCATGTAGCCCTGGTACGCCGCCCCTGGCAAGGTTGGATGCACAGCCACCGTCACGGAGGCTGTGGCTGTAACCATGGTAACAGGCCCCCCAGTTGAGCCTTGTTGTGTTGGCAGGGCGGAGGTGCTATTGCTATAGCTTGCCCCTTTAGTCCTGTTTGGCTGAGGCCCTCTGCCGTTCTGAAGCCTGGGGCCGCTTTGACAAGTCCTCCCAGGGAAGTGAGCTCTGTCACTGGGTAAGTGTTGGCCGGGCTGAGCCTGGAGCCTGTGGAGGCCCTGCTGCTGCTCCCGCTTGTTTCCATCCCAGCATGTAACCTGGGAGCTGAGAGGTGACTGTGCATTGTGTGAAGATTCATTTATCGGTTCTATCCTCCCACCGGTGCCTGTTGTATTTTCTTTGAATGGCTTTACCACCTACAACACACACATGTTCACAATTTACTTTGAGAGAAACACATTAATTTGAAGATCACACAAGAGGGGTTCCTATCTTATCTGTGTGGTCATGCAACGTACCGTGAGCTTGGGGAAGCTGGGGTTCTTGCTGGCTTCCAGCAGGATGTGAGATGTAGCAGGTGGAACGCTGGTGTGCGATGTAATGTACGCGCTCCGGTCACAGTACTTATAATCCTCCTCCCCGATCCCTGACGTGGTGGTCATCTCAGAGTAATACTCCGAGTCAGACGATTCCGAAAACACTTGTTGATGAGATGACCTTGGGTTGTGGTGCCCCGTGTAGTACCCATGGTGAGTCATGGGTGGGGGGAGTGGGGGCTCGGGGGAAGGCGTGGGCAGGCGGCTGGCATTGTCAACAGGGGTGACCTCAGCTGGAGGCCCCATCATGGAGAGGAGGACTGGCAGAAGAACTAAGCCATTCAGCATCCCCAACACAGTCAGGATGGCCAACACAGCAAAGAAATACCTGAAAGGGAGAGAGAGAGAGAGAGATGAGGGATGTTAGTTTGAACTTGAACCTAAAAAGCCACATTCAGCACTAGAAAGAACCGGTTTCAGATTAAAGCTCGCTGGGAGCATCTTGTAACCTCCGTTTACCTCACTGAAACAACAAGTGAAGGTGAAATATGGCGAGAAAGATCAATGAGAGCGACCACACCTTTCTTGTTAGTAGCAGCAGCTGCTAATTGTTAACTCGGTTTAGTTGAGGTCAGGCAATACCAAAACACCTCTGTGTTTACACTGAACAGGTCTGCCTACCCTCCTCTTCCGGCCTACTGCCTGCATCAGCTGGATTGCACAGACACATGCATCAGAAAGTGCATAATATGCACATACTCACAGTCACACAGAGCCACAATCCATTAAATCTTGTTTTCTTTTGAATCTTGAAGTTTTTTGGGATTTGGTTCAAACTCAGATGGATTAAGTGTCTCAGCAAAACGCAGGACACTTTTACACAAAGTGGAAAACATTTAATCTCTGACATTTTTTTGTTGTTGTTTAATTTTTCTTAAAATGTGACCCAAAAAAAATGGGGGCAAGACCGCAGACCACGGTGTCCTGATGTTTGATATGGACAAGAGCACACATGCACACACACGGATGCGCGTGCACAATTCCAAACACACACATAGTTGGCACATGAGGAAGGGAAGTAGCTCAGGGGAAGAAGTCAGGGAAAGCCCAGTGTTTGTGTATCAAAGGCAATGGGGGGGTGGGGGGTGTGTGGGGGGGTGCAAATCTGATTCCCCACTCAGTCCAACTAAAACATGCTTTGATGCCTCCACTGCTGCTGCTACAAGACTTTCTCTCGCTCTGTTTTTCACTCACACTGTGTGTGTATGTGTGTGTGCGTTTTTTTTTTTTTGTGTGTGTGTGCGTGCATCTCAGTGGAGCTCTGAGGAGGCCAGGGGTGGAGGCAGGCCACAAGAAAGCGCTCCCCAAGAAAATTAGAGAGGACTCCACTTAAACACTAACAGAAAGCAGAAAGCGAGAGACAGTGAGATGCTAACCACCAGCCAGACTTAAAGAGGTNTACTACTACTTCACTTGACACAGGTCACTCCTCAGGAAAAAGTTCATGGATTGCGTATTGGGTGTGATTTCACAACCCTTTGCACCAATTTCAGCCCACCGCTCTTTCTTTTTTTTTTTTTTTT